CCTTCAGAACTTAGTTCCAACCTGCCCTACCTCTTCCCTTACATCATGGTCTCTGTTTCTCTGTCACACAGCCAGCATTTGTGCTTTTCCATCAGGTGCTCCTTCGTGCTGTGGCATCCTCTACCACCCCGTCCCATTTCCACCTTCCTCCTGCTCGTATTTCTGTTTTCTTCCTATGGTTACTGACTCTGTTCATACCACTAAATGATCTTCCACTTCCCTTTCTCATCCCTCCCCACCTCCATGTCCTAGGGACATGTGACCACAAGCTGTAGCTACAGGTTTCGCCAGGACTGCCTCATGTTCTCCATTATCATACAGGGGTGATGCAAGCCTTCCTCAAGGCTGCATGTGGCTGAGAAGGACTGCTCTGAACCATGGTGGTGACAAAGGTCTTTTTGCAGGGCTTGACTTGAGGTTAACTTCTGTTTATCTCTGCACAGCTGATACCAGTTGACACTGCCTGCCACATAGGCACAGACGAAGAGGTTACTCCAGAGCATTGCAGTTGGTGTCTGTACAAGCCAACTTGAGTTCAAAGACCTAAGGGCTGGAATGGAACCAACCTCTGTGGTAAGAGACTATTGCCGTTAGATTAACAGGGCCAGACTCCCTTTGCATGTAGTAAAAAAAAGAAGAGGAATGGATTTGGAACCATGTAGTTAACTTTCTTTGAGTAGAGGAATAAAAGGATGGCTGTTCTGGGTTTGGGTTTTCTCCCTTTCAATATGCTCTGTTGGGCAGCACTCCTCTTTCTTATTTACTGTTCCAAGTATGTATTATTTCTCACCCTGGGAAACTAGCTTCCCATACTTCTTGATTTAGAAGTCAGAGAACTGGCTACAGAAAGCAATTGAACAGTTCATCCATGTCTTTCTCAGTGAGGGTAAAAGTTTCAGCCAGCTAAAACATGGGAATAAATGTGTGGAAGAGTTGCTACGCCTGGCAGGGTTAGAAGGAGGATTATTTAAAATTGATTTTGTCCATACCCCTTGGTTTTGTTACATTTCCTGTACTGACAGATAAGGATCTTATTAAAAACTGAACTTGCTACAGTATTGATTTGAGTCAGTTATAAGACATTTCTAAAGACAGTTACGTCAATAAAAATCAGTGTTAGCTGATACACTTACGAAAGCGAATGATTCCCGGTAACTTTTCTTTATGGCAGTGCTTGATACTAACCATAGAAATCTGCAGGATTGCTGTACCTTGGGCAGGGATATCCTACTTCAGTGAAATACTGGACCATGTCTCTAGCTGTTCCAGAATAGACAGTGACTCCAGAAGTCATTAGAAGAACTAAATCAAACAGTTGGAAGATATCTGATCGGGGCTGATGAAGTGAAAGAAGAACTAATCTGTTTCCTCTGGCCAGTCTGGATAATGTTATCACGAGGTTATGTGCAGTAAAACTGTCCAGTCCAGATGTGGGTTCATCAAGTATGAGTATTCCTGCCAAAGACAATTAAGTTTAGCTGTGGAAAGCAGCATGTTTGATTTGGAAAATATATTCTAGGTGAAATGGTGCTAGTGCATGAAATCTCACTGATATGTTCTTTTTTTTTTTTAAAGTCCAAAGTATTTTTCATACCAGCATCACATAATATTCAACAATGGCAATTTCTCTCCCTATCTTACTGAGCATGATGACCAAAAGTAAGTATTTTAAATCTTATCTTGCTCCCACTGGAAACAAGATTTTTTTTTTTTTTTCTAATTGGGATGCAGATTAATATTCCTTATTAATTTTAATTCTTCTCTGCAGTTTTTGCACTTTGCCTCTACAAATGTCAGGTACATGAATATTAATTAATACAATAGTATTAGTTTTGTACCCTGCCTACTGAAATATTTTAACCTAATTGCTCAATATTTAAACCTCTTGCATTATTCATATGTAAATACTCACACAGTAGTAATTTAGATAGCTCCACCTCCCCGTCTGTGCTTTATTTTGCACTTGTTTGCACATACGTATGAAAAGATATGCATGTGTTTGGATTTTGGTTTTGTTTGCTTATTTTGCTATTGGTTGTTACAAACTTGAAAGGGCTTTATTATTTTGCATTGTTTGTGTTATTATAGAACTTAATGGCCTCAATCAGTACAAGGCAATGTCTGTACACAGACGTGGTTTCTGTGCCGAGAGGTGTAATGCGTATTTGAAATGTAAAGAAAGCTTTGTTTATTTTTTCCTAGAACTAATTATTTTTTTTACTTTAGTACCAGCACATCTAATCCCAAGTGTCATTTCTTACAGAAAAAGACTTCTGCTTGCCCCATAATTATAAAAGTATAACTTTATACATGAAAAAATTCTCAGATCCATTTTCCAGTGGAAGAGCTGATGAGAAATCTCACTCAACAAGAGGCTCAGCCAAGTTTATTAGTGCTGTTGGTGTATGGAAGAGCAGATAGATGGTGATTCACTCCTGCAAAATCAGCTGCAGATTTAGCCTCATGTTTTGCTTCTGGTGAAGACAATGGAAATTTCTCGTTCACCTGTGACATGAGCCAGCCACATCAGTGAGCAGCATGAGACCACAATGGCTGACTATACAGCCAAGAAAATGACCTTCCCTGTTAACATTGCACATGCAAATGGACTGGGTTGGAGGAAAGGAAAACAATCCTGATGTTATAATATGCCAGGAGCCTTCCAAAGTAACTTGTGGCACGAGGTCAGATAAAAAACAAACCTCATAGAGATATGCACAACCCATAGCACTGCTGTGAGGGTGACTTCAGGCAACTGTCAGTAGTTGGTGTGATGGTGGTTTTAGAGAGTGGTGGGTGAAGGCTTCTGGGGGCCTCTGCCTGGCTCTGTCACCGTTTTTGCATTGGCAAAGGTGACAGAAGTGAAAGCGGGTTGGCTGCTGAAGCACTCAATTTACAGAATTATTGCTGTAATAATTACCGTATTATCTGTGATCAACCCTGATTTCCATCTAAGTAAATGGACCAGCACCCAGTCACTGCGTCTAACTTTGCTATGGAGAGGTAACCTCTGGCAGAGGGTGGTGGAAGACCTGTTAAGTGTCCTGAGTATGAACTCCTCAAGCTGCCCCAGGGGCAACTGTGTGTATGACTGTTCCCTGAAAGTTCCTATCTTCACTTACTGCCCTATTTTCCCCAGTGGTCTGTGGTGGGCACAAAGAAGGCGTCAGGGTTTTGCTCACCTGGGTTCCAGAGCAGCTGCACACCGATGCTCACCCTTCGCCTCTCGCCTCCCGAAACGCCGCGGAGATATTGGTTCCCTACCCTGGTGTTTGCGCACTGACGCAAGCGTAGTTCTGCTATAACATCTTCCACCTGGGGGAAACCAAAGGGTAACAGAGATAAAGCAAGAGTTTATTTGCACATTCGTGCATAGGTAGAGATGAAAACACAATTAATGTGGTTAAATTCTTCTGGATATTTCAGTGCTATCTGATCAAGAGAGAGTTGAAAACAAGTCTTTATTTCAGAGATAACATTAAAAAAGGCTCAGTGATCAGCAATTTAGTTCTTCTTTCAGCCTCTCTAATGCTTTCTCTAGATTGTCATTTTTTATGAGCTTTGGAACAATTGCTGGTTTCTATCTTGGAAGAAGAAAAAGGTTTATAATTCATAATCTACATAAAAAAATACCAGATTAGCTGCTCTGACTCCAAACACACAGGATCTCTTGGATAATTCCTGTCAGACACATTTTTGACAACTTTATTTTTTTCTAACAGCTTAATTACCCTTTTTTTCCTTTGTGAGTCTGAAAAAAACTTTGGAAGGCGCAGTTTGGCAACGAACAATAGTGTTTCTCTGACAGTCAGGTGGGGAAGCAGTCGGTCATCCTGCCGCACGTGTGCTATGCATTTCTTAACAAGCTGGGGAGTGCTGGGTTTGTTATTGATCATGATTTGACCAGACTTGATTTTGCCTCCATGATCCCGGCAGGTTATCACATCAAGCAAGGATGTCTTTCCACCAGCTAAAAAGATCAAAATTGAAAATTAAATTAATTTCCAAGTTGTCATTTTGAAAAATGATTTAGTCTCAGAGGGTGGACAGAAGTTTTCATTCCTTAACATCTTTTCCCCAACCCTTCCTGAAGCTTTTCCAAAGCCAAAAAGCCAGAATGGTTTTGAAAGATAATCCTGACTACAAGTTTATGTTCAGGAAGTCTCTCTCCTCTGGAATGGAGTACGTGGCTTTAACCTTTGTCATGTCTTAGCAGAATTGGGTAGCTGGGCATTGAGTACTGCAACGTGAACTCAAGAAGTGAGATCTCTGTCTTCTTGTTACCTCTTTCACTTTTTAAACATAGGTAAAAGGTGGTATCCTGCTCTGGCTGCAGGATCACCTAGTTCCAACCCCCCTGCCATCAGCAGCAACACCTTCCACTAGACCAGGTTGCTCAAAGCCTCATCCAACCTGGCCTTGAACACTTCCAGGGAGGCGGCATCCACAACTTCTCTGGGCAACCTGTTCCAGTGTCTCACCACCCTCACAGGAAATAATTTCTTCCTAATATCTAATCTAAACCCACCCTCTTCCAGTTTAAAGCCATTTCCCCTTGTTCTGTCACTCCCTGCCCTTGAAAAAAGTCCCTCCCCAGCTTTCTTCTAGGCCTCTTCAGGTACTGGAAAGCCACTGCAAGGTCTCCCTGGAGCCTTCTCTTCTCCAGGCTGAACAGCCCCAACTCTCTCAGCCTGTCCTCATATGAGAGGTGCTCCAGCCCTCAGATCATCCTTGTGGCCTCCTCTGGACTCGTTTTAACAGGTCCATATCTTTCTTATTTTGGGGGCTCCAGAACTGGACGCAGCACTCCAGGTAGGGTCTTACGAGAGTGGAGTAGAGGGGGAGAATCACCTCCCTGGACCTGCTGGCCACACTTCTCTTGATGCAGCCCAGGATATGGTTATTGGCCTTCTGGGCTGTGAGCATGCATTGCCAGTTCATGTTGAGCTTCTCATCCAAGCTTCTTGCTTGGCAAGAGCTTGCTTTGTGGAGGGAATTGTGAATTCAGAAGCAGCAGATGGAACAGCTGAATGACTAAGGCACTGAATGATTATACAGACAATAAGTATCTTAATCATTATTGAAATAAACATTATTGTGACTTAAGAGAAAAAGTCATTTAAATAATTAAGAAAAGCTGGCTCGAGGTAAGAAAAATAAAACAATGGAAACAAAATCTGATTTGGAATTAAATAGCAGATGAATTTTTCCTTTTTGCTGTATGATACTGTATGTAAACACACAGAGCTCTCTTATGATTAGATGTCATTTATTTCTAGTCTCCCTGTTGAAAGATTAACTCCACACTTGTTTCTTAATATATACATTTTAAAAAAGAAACCCATCCATCTGTAAACTACATATTGCTCTATTTAAGACTGACATATTGATTGCCATTGACAATGTGAAACCCATCAGCAGTGTAATACATTTTACTAAGGCATTTGATGAAATAGATGATAAACAGCTTTTAGAAATAGTTAGACTAGTTTGCTGAAAGGGATTTGAGCTCAGTGTATGTTACCTTACAAAGGTGCTATATCTATATCTCAATATGTTATTTCATCACAAGCTTTTCTTTTTATTATTGGGAATCCATAAGGTACAACTTCAGTTACATTGAGAATATATCCTTAAGAAAAAATTCCCATGGCAATGGGGAAGAAAAATCTCTTTTGAGAAATAAAGTTAAAACTTCTTTGGCAAATATGCTTTGCCTTTCTTTGAGAGAGAGCATCTTCACTGAATCACTGAGCTAACCTGATGTAAGAGTCTAGTGGAGACACAGCATGAAGGTTTTTACCTCCAAAGTATGGGTACTTTTTACATCAGTTTAAGAGGTCACTTGTCTACTTCTTACGCCCCTAGATAAGCTTAGGCTCAACTAACCACATGGAGTAAAGGCTATCTCTCCTCACCTTGGAGAAGATTAAAACAGTCCCACCAAGAAATGAAAGAAAAAAAAAGATGTAAGAAAGCAGAGACCCATTTTAAAACTGATCACAGGAGGAACTGTCTTTTCTTCTCCATAAGTTTCTGTTAATTAATCCAAATGCATTATTTTATCCTGCTAGAATAGCTTCAGTCTGAAGGGAATTCCTGCTTACGGCTATGCACGTTGCCACTGATCTTTTTTACAGGGTCTGGCCTCAGTTGTCTGCTATGTTCCTGAATAATGTCTGCAACTGGCCTGTTTTGAATCTGAGCCATGAAGCTGATTCATGTCCAGCAGAGCTGGGACTGCAGGCCACAGTTATAACAATATCCCACTACACCTCAGGAAACAAATAGCAAATGTTTCATAACCATAAAAAAATTGGTTATGAAAATAAATTTTAAAATTCCTCCCACCCTTTACCATTTTTTGTTTCCTCATATGTTTTAAAAGAATGAATTTAAGTGACACCTTTCCAGTAGTTCTTTCTCAGCTAGATTTTGCCATTCAGAATACTGCAGAGTATTTGCTTTTGTCTGTGTACGTTTTATCTGAGAGCTGGTCAAATCACAAAATTTGGTTGCACATACCAGTGCTTCCTATAATAGCTAGCATCTGGCCACTTCGAACTTTGAAGTTCAGATTCTGGATTATTGACACGTGAGAATGGGGATCCGATTTCCGGGTCCATGGCATTTTCATCTGCGCAAGGCTTTCATACCAGGGAATCTGGGATGCCATGTTAACCTAAAAAAGGAAGAAAAGTCCCTTAAATTAAAACAATAAACTTGGTAACTTGTTCCTATTGTTTGGGGGGTTTTTTAAATTTTTATACGCAATTTGAAATTACACAAAACTGAAAACTGTGAAGTCTACTTCAGATGTCATGGTGGCACAAAGAGAGATGAAAAATTCCACTGGTTCCCTGAAATCTTCCCTGCATTTGTGATCTTCTCCCTGTCCCCTTCCATATGCTCATTCTTGCCAAGCAAGGGCTCCCAACATTCCCAGCTGAACAAAAAGTCCTTCTGCCCCAGCCCTCAGAGGAATAATTTGTCTCAAGACTGAGAAAAAAAACAGAGCCTAGAGACAAAGATATATTTACAATGGAGAGTTTAGCATGCTGTCAATATTGTGGCCAGGAGCATGGTTCTCCTAACACCTCTGTGCATTTGACTTTGCAATGGTTGCATGAATCAGTGTTGTGAACTTCAACTTTGTTTGCTTTTAAAGTGGCTTGCACATAGACATGGGTGTTGCTGGATATGCTCCTTGCTGAAGGGGAGTATTTAAAGTACAACTTTTACCTGGTAGTTGAGTTCTTTGACCTCGAGAACGTTTGATTTTCCGCTGTATGTGAAATACAGGCTGTTATCTTCTTCAGAGCAAAAAATAGTGTCCTGGGCCTTTGTCTGGAAAAGTGATTAGGTTAATTACAATACCTAAAGTCCTGTTAAAATTTTAGTTCAGAAAAGGCAAAGCAGAAAAGGAAATGTATTTTATGGGATATAACAGTATTGTTGAAGAGTTACTGTAGTGCTAAAGTCAGAAGGGTTGAAACGAGTTATCTGTTAATCAGTGTGGAATGTACTTTGTTCTAGCGGTGTGTGTGAGGGCAAAACATACGGTGCTATGCTCTTCTATTTACTTTCAGTTTAAATGGTTTAAACTTTCAGTTTTTCACTTTCAAAACAGAGATAATTGTCATGCCACCATAAAGAGATTGGGCTCTATTTCTATTTTTGAGGAAAAAATGTACTTAAATGGTGCATATTGAAATTCATAAGTTATGGCAGCTAAAAATTAAGGTTCACTGGAAGTTATGCTTGTTATTGAATTCCACAGGGACTCGTTAACTTGGAGGCTTTATGAACAAGTAGGTGTGTGACCACAAGTACAGTCTCCTTTTCTCCTGTCTTTCAAATTCACAGTTTGTCAACTGAAACTTGGTGTTCTAAGATGTAAGTTAAAATAACAGTTTCTATGTAGCTTGGTCAACCTTTTGCATATAGCTGCAATTGAGAAGTCTTTGCTGGGACAGCTTTCTGGCTTAGGATTTGATTCTGTGTGCACGCCTGTAGTTTTTACTCCAGGCAGCCATATCTTGTGCCTTTCCTACGAGTCAGACCCATTCCTAGCCAAAGCAAACGTACCTGTTCCCTGTGCAGTGGACCCTATCCATGCCCGTGATATCTTTGGCAGATGGTGACCACAGTCTTTGTGTGTACTTTGTACCCTCACAGCAAATGAGGCTAATTGATCTTTTCAGTCTAGATACAGAGTGGAAAGGACCATGATACCAAGCAGCCTGAAAAGCCACCTTAACGCCCTCCCAGCTGCCCCCCGCTACCAAAACACTCTGTACTCTGGCTTGTGTTGAACTTAATTTAAAAAAAAAACAACAGGTGGTCCCCAGCAAATGTGGGGAGATGGTTTTACAGCCTGAGGCATGTCCTGGGAAAGCCATTCCAGGCCATGCTCAGGGACCCTCTGCTCCATCCGCATATTTGAAGATCCCTTCCCTGAGCCCCACCACTGTGGCGTCTGAGTGCAGCTTGCGTGGCATCGGCCTCGTCCCCAGTGTGCCCTTGTGGGGGTGAGGATGCTCTCTGCTCCCTGTTTCAGAGCTGGATGGAGGAGGAAAGGGCTCACTGCCTGAGAAAGCGCGGTTGGATGGGAGGCCACCCCCTCTCCCAGCTCCCGGGAAAGTGCTGCGGCTGTGTGATGCTCGAGCCCATCGGGTCCCTCCCCACAGATCTCACTCACCGCCGAGCCCTCGCATGCCACCTGGCTCCAGCCGGTACCGTCCAGAGAGACATTTTCAGTGACTTCCTTCATGTTGTCAGTGGAAGGTCCCGCTCCCTGCAGTGGTTTGACTATTGTCTCTTTGAAAGCTGTGGAAATCCTTCTCTTGGTTTTGAGCTCAGCCCTTTCCAGGCGCCTTCACCGCAGCACCATTTCTCCTGGCGTGTTGCGTCTCTGCAGCTGGCGTGACCCTGTGGGCAGGGAAATACCCCCCTCCTCTGGGACAGTAACAGCTCGGGCTAAAGGTACATCAGATAGCGGCTTCAGCTAATCGCCTGTCAGTTGTTCTCAGGGAAGAGAAGGAACTGAGACCCCCTCCATTTTCTTTTAGACACTTCCCTGGGAGGCGAGCGCCGGGGCAGCCATCTGCCCTGACCCAGGGACAGCGGGGAGCTG